ATTTTCGGATTTTTAGGGATAATTAATTCCTTTATTTTTAAAAATCTGAATATTTTAAATTAATTCAAATTTAAAAATCCGATTTTATTCTGTCAGAATGATAGAATGCCAACCATAAACTAGTAAATATATTTTTCGATTTTATTCTGTCAGAATGACAGAATGCCAACCATAAACTAGTAAATACATTCTGAAAGAATACACAAAATCAATTCTTGAACTAATAATATACCAAATAATTACATTGTATGATTGTGATTCATTGAATAATAACAACATTCTGAAAGAAAAAAGAAAAAAAAACATCAAAATCTAACAAAAACACTAATCTATTCTGAAAGAATATTATTTTTAAGCAACACTTTATGCATTGTAGCATAACACATTCTGGTATAATACACTCTCGTTCTCTATGTTTTCTTCCTTCTCCACATCAATGTTAGCCTCTTCAAAACCTAAATCCACAAAGAAAACATAATCAAGTTTAAAAAATTAAAAAATTCAATGCATTCTAAGAGAATAAAAACTATAAATTTTGACAGAATGTATTAAAGACTATAAAGTTTGACAGAATATAGTAGAAAATAAAAACTATAAATTCTGACAGAATGTAGTAGAGACTATAAAGTCAACCATAAAGTATCACAAATTCATTACCAGTTAAACAAATATATTTGTTGTTAACAATTATTCTCAAACATTCTAGCAGAATACATTTATATAAATAAATTCTAACAGAATACATTACATAATTCAAGAGCTGGGATTGAATCATCAACACACATCTGCATTCATTCCCAGTCATGAATTCAAGAAACAAACACAGATGGATTCCCCTGTCAAATACCGAAACCCAAACAACCATGAGTTATATCTCATCCATTATCATAATTTTTTTCAGGAAAACCCAAATATCCAAATTTCCATGGATTCAAATCAAATAAGATGAAGAAGAAGATCACATGTTGGCCATGGATGCTTCCGTTAACTTCCTCTTCCTTCATCAGTCAAGAATCGAGACTCTTGTCCCCCTCAAACTTGTTGTTTTGCTGCTTCCTTTCTCCCTTCTGTGTCAATGGCCAACAACCCCATTTTCGTGTTTTTCCTTTCCTGACAAACAAAGAAAAACAAACACTTCCCAATTTCAGTCTTTTGTTGCCATTCTCTTCCCCTAGTTGTTGGATTACCGGACCAGAGGAATAAGAACAGGAGGCTACCGGAGCATACCTCCGTCAACGTACCTGCAATCGCCGGGCGCGATGCCCTCCTCTGCCTCTTCCCCATCAAAAGACATCGCCGAACACCGACCATCACAAACACCACCGGATTCCCTCCCCGTTCGCTCCTCGCTTCTCACTCGCGTTCACGGACCCCACAACAGCGTCACTGCTCTTCCGCATCCCCTTCTTCAGCCTCATTGAACCCCAGAGTCCATCATCGATTGCGAGACGAGAGTATGTCCTCCCTTTTAGATCCGTCGACTGTAGAAGAAGAAGCATAAGCGGTGGATCAGATTTAGGGCTAATGTTCTAAATTTATCATTGTCCCTTGCATGGTATCACAAATATTAATTATCTACCATAATTAATTATACAAAGATTACTATAATACAATTTTTGATTTAATTAATTATTTAATTATTTGCTAAATTGTGATTGGTGCATTTAGGAACACAATAGTTGCTAGAAACATTTGAACCTAGCTCTCTCTCTCTCTCTCTATATATATATATATATATATATATATATATATATATATATATATATATATATATATATATATAATCATGTAACTGTCATGGGTTGGTTTTGACGGGTCGGTTTGTCGGTTTCATGGTGGGTCAGTTTCTCGGTTTAGATCGGTCGGTTTCTAGGTAAAAACTGAAACAGAAATCGACTTTTTGGTTTTTAAAAATTTTAAACCCTAACCATCAGTTTGTTTCAGTTTCGGTTTTGATCGGTTTTTCGGATTCTTGGTTCGGGTATTTACTCACCCCCAGTGATAGAAGTTCAAATAGTACTAGAGGGTGATAGAACACCATCTATTTTGGTCCCCTTCGACAAAGTAATTTTATGTATTAGAACTTTAGAACTTAAAAGTGGTCCATATGGGCTTGGGCTCGACCCTTTTCTTTTTCGTGAAGAAGGCCTTAGCTCTATTTCCCCTCTTTCTAATGCTGCCAACGAACCACACCACTACGATGTTTCGTTTCTGCTGTCGACGACAAACACACCAAAGGTCTTTGTTCTCTCTCGGCGGCAAATACAACACATGTCAAACTCTTTCTTTTTTTTGCGACTATGTCTGGTTTTTTGTTTCTAATAGTTTTGATGTGTAATCAAACCTTGTTGAAAGTGTAAAATATATTGATGTTTCCATGGCTGATTAATTTTACATTCTTTAAATAAATTGCAAGTCTATAATGCTTAAAATTATGTTTATGTGGTTGGTTTATTAGAAAGTTTAGAAAAAGTGACTCGAATGAATTGTAAAATTATGATGTTTAGAAATTATATGGTCCAACAAGAATCTTTCAATTAACCTAGATTAACTTACTCAGGTAAAACTGGAACGATTTAGGAGTCTAGCTAAATGATGGGTGAAAGCTTCTTGTGTTTATGTTTTTATTAGATGAATACAGATGAAGGATTTTTTTTTTCAAAATGAGATGCTAATGGTGCGTTTAGTTGCGGAAACGCGCACACACACCCAACACCACTACCACAATGACCGACCTACCATCACCATCACCGTCACCACCACCACTACCCCATCACCAACACCACCACCGCCGCCATCACAACCACTGCCACAATTGCCGCCGCCACCACCACCGCTTGTCATCACCACCACCGCCGCAGCGTCGCCACCCCTCTGCCACCACCACCCCGCTGCCACCACTGCCCCCCGCCGCTGCCCCCACCACCGCCATTGTCCCCACATCCACCCTACCACCGTTACCGTTTTCTAAAAAATGAAAACAGATAGAAAAATACACATCTAAACACGTTTTCTAATTTTCTAAAAACTGAAAATGAAAAATGAGTAAGTTTTAACTAAACGCGTTTTCTAAATTTTCCAATGGAAATCGAAAACGGAAAACGAAAACTGAAAAGGGAAAACGAAAAACAGAAAATGAAAACTCTTTCCCGTAACTAAACGCAACCTAAGCTTTTGTGTTTATGTTTTTATTAGATAAATATAGACGGACGTTATTTATGCTATTCTTAATGACCCCGACGTTTAGAGCACAAACCCTTTACGAGTGAAAAAAAAAACCAAATACATGAATGAGAGCAGCTAAAATATAGGGAGAAACTAATTAGTATCTAAAATTGGGGAGAAATAAACAGGATGTGAGAGTAAATATGTAAAAGATAACCATGAAGGGCGTTTTAATCCATAAAACAACCATCCCATTACTTTGCATATTAAGAGATTATGTATATATTAAGTCAAAAAAAAAAAAAAAACACATACATATATCTATATATCTGAACCACATAAGTTGTATTCACATTAAGGTTATCAAGTCAAAAAGAAGGGAGCTGATTCTTCCACTGATTTTATTTATTCATCCACATAATTTGTTACCTAATGGACGATTATATCCTTTATTTAAATAGATAGTGTATTTTAGATTTTAATTATTACACGTCTTCTTTTATCTTTTATGCGCCTCAACCAATTAACACTCCTTCTTCCTCATGACGTTCCTTCCTACTTTGGTGCTTCAATCTTCCGCCGACATATACGTTTTGCAATCTTCGTCCCTGTAAATGTGTTAAAGGAGCAAAATGCAGTGATCGGAGAGTCCACGTTTCTTAACACGATTGGTTAGTAACGTATTCCCGTCGCTCAACTATAAGGTTTACATTTACCGGGAAGATAGCCGTCCAGAACCGCGTCATCGGAGCTCCGGAATGCTGTCACGTAAACTTCACAAATAACATCTGGTCCGACTTGGTAATGTCACACACTTTTGGGTCGAGAAAGTCGGGTTACTTCAAGACCAGTGTAATGGTAATGAATCTGAGAACATGGAGAAAAGGAAAAGTCCGCTGGAAAATCGAAAACTGGATGGAAATCACAAGGAAACGGAGGATATACAAATTGGGTTCATAGGAACAACATGGGTTCGGAGAGGAAAAAGTGACGAGCAGTTGCCGGCTGTATTCCGTTCCGATGAGTTTATCACATTACAGCTTTGAAGGAGGAAAATTGAGCTATTTGTGGTTGTGCGTGTTTGGAAAGAGAATCAAATCAACTCCCAAAAAACCCTTGGAATATTTAAAATACATTGTATAATTAAGTTAGGGGCATAATAGTCAATTACTAGCAAATTTATGTGGATCGATAAAAAAAGCAGTGGATTTATCAGCTCCCAAAAAGAAACACCGCGTACAAGGTAACAGTAACCGACCAAATGTTAAACTCATTCATTTATCCTAAAGTGATAGGTTGGTATAAATTGTAATGGCTCAGATAATAATAATCAGCAGTTGGATTCCTAAAATAGCAAAAAAATGGTTTCTATTTGATACTTCTTGTCCTACAACATTTAAATGAGTTTGCTAATTTTATTCTTAGCATTTTTCCTGGAATTTTGCATGTAAAGGAATTGAAAACAATGGCCAGCCGCTAATCTCTCTCCATCATTCTTCATATCATCTCTCTTATATCTCCCTATACAATTTTCTGGATGTTTGTACAAGTCCTCCTTAATCCCACCATCTGTAGTTAAGGCCACCATCTTCTCAGCCCTAGCAACACCACTTCTGCCGTGTCTGATAAACGTATTTCTTTCAAGTTACCATCCTCCACCCACAACAAAGAACAAACGCTAATTAACAGCAACGCTTCATGGTTTTTTTCATGCCTCGAACCTACATTTGTGGGGTTCGAGTTGTATGAAAAAAATCAAGAAAAACAAAACCTAATTAAGAGCAGTGGGATTAAAAGTCGTATATAATATATAGGGCAAAAGAATTATATAATTAATGGATTCTCGTCCATTGGACATCACGGTGATCTCCGCCAGTGGCCTAGATAATTTCTTATTAGTCTTCAAGATGAAAGTTTACGTCGTTGTTTCGTTGATAAATGGCAAATCCGTCATTGAAAAAAAGACCCATATGTCCAACGGCCGGAACCCTAGGTGGAACCACCGGATTAAGTTCCCCGTCGAGGAGTCAGCCATCCAGACCAGCACCCTCCTGTTTGTCCTCCGGCAACACCGCATGCTTGGTGACAAAGACATTGGCGAGGTATCCATCCCTGTCCGTGAACTCCTTGAGACAAACTCCGGTTATGGATCCACCGAACATGAAGTCGACTATCAGGTTCAGTCCACGAGAGGAAAATGTAAAGGTACGTTCACCTTTTCACACGAATTTAGAGAGAAGGTGCTTCCGGTTAGAGCAGACGGCGGTTCTCATCCAGTACCGGTTCCAGGCACTGCATACATGGTAAATCAACAAGGGATGCCTGCTTATCCCCAGCAACCATACTCAACAACTCCTCCAGGATATGTAAACTACCCATGCCCAGCGCCGCCCCAGTATGGTGGCACGTGGTACCCACCACCGGGCACAACACCGCCAGGGACGTATCCATATCCTCCTCCCCCACAGATGGGTTATAATCAACATTTGCAGCAAGGACCGTAATCAATGGACTAGATTAGTGGCAGGCAGTGGTGGCGGGGGTTGATTGAAGGACATGGAAACTGAAAGCAATGACGATTTTAAGGCTTTGATCATTCATTGTTCTTGGTCTGAAACATGGATTACTATGCATTTTGGGGGTGTTTCTTCTCTATTTTGTCCACATCAGAAGGATTAGCATCTAATGAAGAAGATCATCTTACCGAAGACCACAATGTTATAACAGTATTGAAAAAAAGTCAGTTTTATCTTGTTTGAATCGTCCTGATATTATCTCATGTAATCATTCATGTTTGATATGTATTTTGATTGATATACTATGAAAAATGTTATATTTTGATGTATGGTTTTCTCTCTATTAGTATTATATTAATGATCTACATTCTTCCAACTTAATTAAAAAAAGAGAATTGTAAAATTAGTTCTTGTGGTTTGCAATTTTCTTTGTGTAACATCTTAAAATTTAAGATCCATGTTCTTAAATTAACAAGGTAATTAAATAAAGGATGATTTACATAATTAAATCATTAAGTAATGATCATATTGTTATTTGATATGAATATTAGAAATAAAAAAAGTTTAAATAATAATATTTCAAAGTTAAGGGACCAAAAGATTTGGTAAAATGTTTAACCAAAGGCTTAACTTGGGAAATAGACTACTAAATCTATATAATGGGAGGGGAAGGACATATTATGTAAACCCTTAAGTTAATATATAAAATATTGGGATTTGGGTAGTTTTGGTCAAAAAAAGGTTCAAACTTAAGGGACCAAATATTAAAATCAGGATTATAAGGTGCCACCCTTCCCCCACTTCAGCCATTCACGATGGAGAGAGTTTGGGGTCAAGAAGATGGCGATTTTGGAGAGGATTTCATGCTAAAGTGAAGATCTATCAAGAGATTGAAGTTACAACAATGGATTGAGATCATTTAAGGTAAAATCTCTTATCCTCTAGCTCTCAAATTCAAATTCATGACTTAGGGGAAACCCCGATGTCGATTTTAGCTTGTTATGATGGTTAGGGTTTGGTTTTCTTAACTCTCTTGAGTAGTTTTGATGATACCAATCTCAAACAATCACCCCATTAATGGATTTGAGGATTTGGATGAAAACGCTCATGAACCCTAGAAATCAAAATTGGTGATTTCTTGTCTATATGTTAAATTGGAATGGATTCAATGACCTGGATGATGTTTGATGACAATGAATTCAATTGGAATGGTCAAACTCATCCATGATGGTAGAATCATGTATAAGCTTGGATTGAAATGGCTTTGGGGACAATATGATGAAAACAATGGAATCCTTTGTAGTTGAGCAATTGTTGAGCAAATGAAGTTCATAACCATGAATGAATGTTGTTAGAATGGTTCGGAAGCAAAATACTAACCCTCCGCTCCTGAGTTCACTAAAGGGAAGAAAAGAAAAAGAAAACGAGAGAAAAGAAAAGAAAGGAAACGATCTTCCTTTCCTTTATCTCCAATTCCTCCCGATTTGGGAAGACAGTTTCTAAGGAAGATTAGTATAAATCTTCATTTCATTTCTCTCCTCTTCCTCCCAATAAATAAACTCGGGAGCAATGATATTTTCCTAATCCTGCCGCTTCCTTTTCATTCTCTCCTTAAATGAAACTCTGGAGCAATGCGTAAGTGTTGATTGATTATTGGATGAATCCATGGAATTTGTGGCCATAAGGGTATTTTAGGAAATCTATGGATTACTACGTAAAGAGTAACATCTAAGGAGTGAATGACATTCATGAATATGAATTGACACTCTAGATATGGTATTGGAACATTAAGTCATTAACATGAAGGAATGCTAGTGAAGTTCTAGCTTTAATAATTGTTTTGACCTAATGGTAATTTAGGAACATGGAATGGAATTGAAGATTCCATAGTTACATTAGGTACTTGCAATGAGGTTGGTTGTGGTTTTATGTACTTGACAACACCCAATGATGTATTAAATGATTTGGGAATAAGTCATATTGGTTAAAGAGTGTCTTAAGCAACTTGAGCTCTTAACCCTTTCATTTGAGTGTTTGTAAGCATTATGAACTTAACATTTTGGTAAAGGTCTTAATGACTACGTAATAACGATTAATTGAGTAATTGAGGAGTTGATAACCTTTATTTAGTCCTTAATAACCACTTGGTAAAGTTTAGTGGCTATTGGAGGTTTAGGGAACAAGTTACAAAGCTTTTAGCAAAATTCTGCACAAAATGGTGACCTACAATTTTGACACGGGGGCGTGTCATTTTGACACAGGGCATATCAAATGGTCTGTTAAGTGTATTTTTTTGTGGAAAACCTAGTAAACGATCACCAATTTCCCTCAAACTTTATATATAAGCTAATAGGAAGTAAATAAGCTTATCGGGAATATCTAAATGTTAAAGATCTATGAGGAGTATTTTGGTCATTTTTAATGACTTATGTCCATCCATGTTATATAGGTGGTGATTGAGAGTGTTTCTCTAAGGAAAGGAACTAGAAGAGGACTAGCTATCCTTTTTGTGATTGAGGTGAGTACGTGTTGAAAATTCCCCTCACTTTAGGGTACATGTGTAACACTCGTTTCTCGGATTGGATCAGTTGATGATATAAAGGAGTCAAAGGCATGGTTGATGAAAACCATATTCCACGACGTGACGCAAGGAGTGTCATAACGTGACATGCCAAATGAAGAACACATGTTTCTGATGGCTGTCACGACGTGACAAGAGGAAGGTCATGACGTGACGGTAGCTGCATCCTAAGCCCATGATCTTTTAGGGTTTCTTCCAAATTTAAGCCCCTAAACTCAAGGTTTAGGGCATCCTCTTCAACATCCAACCCTATCAACGAAACCCTAGTCTCCATGGTTGAGTTCTTGAGCTTTTGGTGTCTTGAAGGAGAAGGAAGCATCCTTGGTGCATAATTCCAGCTTGCAAATCTCATCATTATCTCGTAGCATTTACTTTGGACCATTGTGAGTGTTCAAGTTCCAAGCTTTATGTTCTTTGCTTCTAGATCTAGGCTTTTTGTGCATTTTCTCCATGTTTGTTAAAGTTTGGATGAATGGATTCCGTAAACTTGACAACTTTATGGATCCTTGAGGTCCCTTGAAGGTTATATGTTATGGATCTAAAGTTTGGTTGAGTTTGTTGGATTAGTGTAACGCCCCGGTTTTTCTCGGTACGTTTAGTTATTTTAATTTAATTATTCTTGTAACCTTGGGTTAATTTATTTAACCAAGGTCTGATTTTCTTATGTTATTGGATGTGACAACCCGAAATTTTCATTTGTATAATCTCTACAGTCAAACACTTCAAATAATAGTCAAAAACATTTCAGTACATTTTTGGCCGGATTTAAGTCCGTTTGGGTGTTTTATTTTATTTTCGTCAAACGGATAAATAAAAGGAAGTGTCGTTATGAGTGGTGTGTAACAAACAAAACAAACAACACCTTAGCAAGGTGTTTGCGGCCAAACAAGAGGAGTTTGGGCCGTAAACACCATTTTTCCAAGAACTCATGCATATAGCATGAGTTTACCCACTATTCCCTCACTTTACACTTTCCACCTCAAGAACACCCACCACTTTTCTCTCAAGTATCATCACACACTTCTTCAAATCCGCCAAAATGTAAGTGTTTTCCTTCCTAGATTCGTTCATTCAACACTTAATCTAGTGTTTATACATCATTTCATCCATGGATTCTTGATTCTTACTTAGATCTTCAAGTGTTCTTCAAAACACCAAGAACACCAAGAACACACACTAGTGTTTTTGGGTCCTAAACACTCTTACAAGCTTCCTATAAGTAAGTACACTCCTCCTATCTAGTTACTTGCTTAGTGTGCTTGCTAATCCATGGAATGAACATCAAAACCCCCAAGAACATATGTGTTTACGGTCAAGGGAGATCCTTGAACCGTAAACACCCCCAAGTGGTGTTTAGATGCCCCTAACACCTTCTATGGCTTGGATAAAAGACTAGAACCTTGCATGCATGAACTAGAAACACCAAAACACGAAATGGTTAGAGTAACCATGAGTTTACGGCCGTAAACTCATGAGTTTACGACCGTAAAACCCAAGTGTTTACGACCGTAAACTCCCAAGGGTGGTCCAAGGACCGTAAACTACAATGGTGAGTCCTTTTGTGCCCTAACCACTTCCTAAGCCTTTGATTCAAACTTAGAACCCTTCCTTGTGAGTTATGAAACCTTAAAACACACAAATGCACCATTACCATGAGTTTACGGCCGTAAACTCATGGGGGAAATGGTCCAGAAACCGTAAACACATATAAGGGCTACCAAATGAGGAGTAAACTCCAAGGTGAGGCCATACTCTCCTTAGATGCAACCCTTAGCACTCCTAGCACTTGAAACAAAGTGTTTTCATGCATTAGAGTGTCTTTACTTGCTTAATTAGTGATTAAATAACTAATTAGATACATTTATGTATCACTACATGTTACATAGGATCCGTGTGTGTTCAAGTCCTCACTTGACACCTAGCATCCTACCCGGCACTTCCATCCACTCCACTCACTGCAGGTGAGTTCATACCCCTAAATCAACTTGTTAAACGATTTTAAATACTTTTATGGGGGGGGGGGATATAAGTTGAACGGTTATAGTTATGATATCAATCACATGTGATTAATAACTAGAACAGACTACAAGATTTGTTGCTACTTTCAGATTTCCATCAAACTTTGGGTTTTTCAAGTGTTTCAAACCTTTTATCAAATTCTTTAAATGCTAAAACTGTTTTCAAACTCTTTTAAACTTGTTTTATCTTCAAAACCATATCTATACTAATATATTTATATAAGTAAGACTTGAAGGACTTAGGACTGATAGCTCACCTTATTTCATGTTCCTTGTTTGGTTGTGGACTTAGGGTATTCTGTTATTTGTCCGACTGTCATTGAACTCTTAGTTATATATCATATATATTTGTGTTGGATATAAAAGTCTTCACTTCAGTTCAGTACCTT